ACGATTTAAATTTCCATCTTCATGACCTACGCATAACATCATTTCGTAATATTCTGAGTTGGAATAACGATTCATTTTTATTCACTTAATGCAAATTAAAAACTACGAAAACAAGAAAATGACAAATCACAACTATCGCACTGAAACACTTTCGATGGACTGAAACAACGATCTAATGAAATAACCACAAAGCGGGAAGCCGCTATACCTAAAATTTGAGCGCACGCGGCGCATCTTGTGCCTTTCATTCATTATACCTAATATTTGAGCGCACACCTAACCTTGAACCTTTTTAACCCTTTAGCCAGTGCACTGAAATATGACGACAATGATGCAAGTAAATGATAATAATTAACAGCTTAACGATGTATGTAGGTCGTATTTTCTCAGTATTAGTGTGACTTTTTCTTTTTTGGGTGCTTCGATTAACAAAATAAATACATCACGGACTTAAACATAACTCAAAGAATATCGCTCTTATTCATAAAAATGAAAACAGTTTAATAAACCTGTTTTAGCTAAAACACTGTTTTGTCTCGTTCTTTCTTAGTGCTGTCAAGGTTTGAGAGAATGTAACAGTGCAATAGTTAAAACAGGTTAATTAAACTGTTTTCATTTTTATGAATAAGAGCGTATGGCTATACCAAGATAAAGACGATCTTAAGCATTAATACTTACGATGTAAAGTAATTATGCCTTCTCGTAATTGATAATGATAAAGCAAAGTTTTGAAAAATAAGACCCTACTTTAAGTGCGGCCGTTTTTAAAGTTCTAAGTTTTTAAAATGTTAGAACAAGAAAGAGAAATAATTAAAGAACTAAAATTTCAAATACTTGTGGGAGCAACAAATAGGCTTTCTCAAAATAGGTTTTATTTTATTTTTGTAATGGAAGTATGGACACATTCAGATTTAGGACTTTACAATTACACAAATATGCATTGAAATAAATAACAAAACATAATTCAATGTAGATTAGTGTTGAATCAATAGTGTAAGCCTTAATTGAAAATAACACGCCCGTAACGTAACCGTTTTAGGGTTAAATCGGTGTACCTAGTACCTATGCAAGAAAGCGGCACGTGTAACGCACACACACGGACCTTGTAGTACTCGCGGCATTAAAGAAAGGAATCGCAAATGACGACGTAACACATTCTGTCCCTCTCGCGCATCCAATCCTAAGTAACGTGCGAGGGAGACAGAGTGCCTCGCGTTGCATTTTCGGTTCCTTTAATGACACGAGTATACCTATATTCTTTTTTCCTGTGCCGATGGTGTCCTAGTACTGGAATTGTCAACCTTTGACTAAGTGGTTAAATTAATAAATAGTCGTATTATTTCTAGACACTAAAAAAGGAATAATAAAATGGTATGAATTGTGTAGGTAATTATGATCACTATTTATTTGTAGAGATAAATAAATAGTTTGTTTAATTTCGGCATTTTCTTTTTGTTATTCAATTAAGATTTAGGTAAGTATTACTCAGTGTGACTTTTTGGGTTGATTTGTCTATCAAAAATAACTTACTAGATAAACCATCACGAACTAAAACATAACTCTAATATGGCTATTATACTTTTGCCAATAATGATAAAAAACTGAAGCGGACCACGTGTGTTTCGCAATAAAAGGGGAATGTGAACAACATGTACGTGACTTTATTTAGCTTTTGAAAAAAATTTGAGATGTAAGCGACACTTGTAGCTATTTCTTTGCTTTAATTTATCGAAAGAATTAATAAAATAAATAAAATTTCAATAAATTTCAGGAGCAAAAAGTCAACAAAAAGATAACATTTTCTCAGAATATCCTATATGTTATTTTTGTAATGGAGGTACGGACATTCAAACTTAGCACTTTAAAATTAGACATACATTGAACATTAATAATTGAAAAAAATATAATTCATTATTGTACATTGAGGTACTTACTTACGAGGAGTTCGATGGCGCAGAAGGTTAGCGCGTTCGGCTGCGATCGTTGAAGTTAAGCAACTTTCGCAAAGGATCGCATTGGATGGGTGACCAAAAATCTTCTATCTCGAGATCCTCCGTGCTTCGGAAGGCACGTTAAGCCGTTGGTCCCGGCTGCATCTGCAGTGGTTAGTACCCGCCAATCCGGACTGGGCCCGCGTGGTGGGTCATGGCCCAATTTCCCTATTCCATTCATAGGGAAGGCCTGTGCCCCAGTAGTGGGGACATTAATAGGCTGATGATGATGCACTTACCTAATCATAAAAATAACACCGTCCGTGGTTAAAATGTTATTAATATTTTTGCGCAGAAATTGTGCACGGATAAAACAGTTCTGATACCTACCTACCTACATACATATCAAACAGCAATTAAAGCTAAATTTTGTTATTTAATTTTGATTTATGAAACTAAGCCACGCTAAATAATAATCTTTGATATTTTTTTAGTAAGTTTTGTGAATTTGACAAAAAAAAAGGTTGCAAAATTAGCACCTAAAACTTAACCAAGTATTGGTTGTAAACAAAACAACCTAATCAATAGTTAGGCGGATAGGAAGTCGTATTATTCTGTGTTTTTTTTTAAATAGGCCAATAAAAAAATAAAATGTTGTTGACCAATGCCACGTAACTTTAAATTTTTACGGTTTAGGGTTTCGTCGGAAGAATTAAAGATCGAAATTTACTGAATCTCCTTTGAGCTCCTAGTACTTACATAAACTTTCACATTTATTTTTTACTGACAAATAAATAATCAAAGCACACTTTATAACTAGGTTCATGTGTAAGAAAATCCAAATGCGAAGACTTCCACCTGCTTTTATTGGTAGGTGGACTCGTCGACCGCACGTTGAGAGTACGTGCGTCAACACTATCTTTGTAGTAAGGACAATTTAAGATCATTATTTTACGCTTTACATTGTGCTAAAAATTACGCTTATTCAACTTGAATGAATTCGGTACGGCGCCTAAGGGTTTTTCCTCGACAAAAATGGTATTTATCTGCACATCATCATTATCATCACCAGCCTATTAATGTCTCCACTACTGGGGTACAGGCCTTCCCTATGGACAGAGGAACTCGAGATAGAAGATTTTTGGTCACCCATCGAATGACCGACTACTGCGAAAGTTGCTTAACTTCAACGATCGCAGCCGAACGTAATAACCACTTGCGCCATCGAGCCCCTCATCATTTATTTGCACACCTTAAAAGAAATCGGTTACGCACTGCGTGATTTAAAAGGAATTTCCTTTTGCGATGGTTTTAACTCCCTACTGTGAATTTCCTAAAAGACTACAACGAAGGCCCCTGCACGAATTTTGACAGATCCGTAATCGTATTGCATCGTCGAAGTTTCTATGAAAACTAAGAAGCGCCCCTGCCGGACGTAAGATTGAACCAACTGGCTTTTTCCATTCAAAATTTAACCATGAAGATACGATTACGGAGCTGTCAAAATTCGCTCTTGGGCTTCGGTACTAAAACAATGAGTTCTTAGAGAAAGCTGTTATTTCTTTTCAATACATTTGCTCAAAAAATGCATTTACGGAGGTTGTATACATTGGTCGAAAGTTCAAAATTAAGGGCCATACAACGAAGCGTACGGTAAAACATTTTACCGCACGCTCCCATACATGGCGCCGTGAGTATCCTTTACGTTTAATTTCGTCGAACCTCCTTGAAAGCGCTTTCATCATACCTTTGTCTCACTTTAACACTAAAAAGAAAAAGAGTGTCTACTCGTTTGTAATAACCAACTTACCGCACTAATATTATAAATAACTATTACAGAGTTAGCAACGACCTTATGCTTCATGTTATCCCAAGTATTACAAGTAAGGAAAATGATATTAAAACATTACATTAAATGTCAAGTAGGTACACGGTTAGTGAATAAAAATTAAGTACTAGGTTATGTACATTTCAAGATTGTGTACAAAACCACCTAAACAATTTACTTCATCACGGCGCCTTGTCATTAAATTATGTACCGCCCCCCGCCACTGTATTTGAAGACTCTATTTAGGAAAACAAAAAAAAATGCATGCGGAACCCAAAGTGTATTTTTTCAAAAAGTGCTAAATTCGGCTGTTTGCCTGGTGTTTTCAAAGACTAAATGGTAGCAGATGTGTCTAATTAGACATAATCATGCAATTCGACGTTGAATACGATTAGTATGCCATTGATTTAAAGGTAGTTATGTAATAAGCTAACTTAATATTACATACAATTAATTGGAATAAAATAAAAAAATACATACACAAGCAAAAAATGTTTTAAATCATACTTAAATACATACATAACTGTGTGTGTAAATTTACGTATTAAAACGTAGCGCTTAACGATTTCATCTTATTTTAATTAACAAGATGTCTATTGATTCTTTACAATGACCTGGACAACACAAGCTTTTTAACAGACTTTAATAAATAGAAGGTGTCTTGTAATTGATCATTCCTTTCTTTTTTGATTTTTTTCCGTGGTGGGGTTCACTTTTATAAACTTTTATTATTTGTTACACCTGTTATGGAAGCGAAGGTACAAATGTTTAGCAAATTCAACAAGTCTGAAAATTGATAATCTATGATTTAAATGACAATTTTGGGTTGAATGACATTAGCGGCTGATTACTAGAGATGGGACATTTTAATTATGATTTTTCGATAAATAATTTATTTTTTTTGGGTTATTTTGAAACACCGTGTATATATATAAAACTCAAAGGTGACTGACTGATATAGTGATCTATCGACGCACAGCCCAACACAACACTGGACGGATCGGGCTGAAATTTGGCATGCAGGTAGATGTTATGACGTAGGCATCCGCTAAGAAAGGATTTTGATCAATTCTACCCCCAACGGGATAAAATAGGGAATGAAAGTTTGTCAATATTAAACCGATCGGGCTCAGACTTTGCATGCAGGTATAAGAAGAATCATAGATGAATGTCATTGTGTATAATACAAGCCTGAGAACAAAAACTAGTCTACACTTCAGCTCTACACCGAAGCGAAGCGAGGGCGGGCCGCTAGTTAAAGAAATAATAACGATATTATAAAACGCTATGTCATTCAGATCTGATGAACAAAGTTAATTCAAGTACTAATGTAGTAGTTATCTGTGATACAAATACAAGTAAGGCGTAGATCTTGTTAATAATGTAGTAAAATAACAACATGAGCTAACTTATCTTTCAAGATATCGCCATTTTAATGTACGAGAAGCATGGAAATTGAGGAAACCGCCGTTTAGCATGATATCTAGCTTATTAAGTATAATGTTTTAATTGCTACAACGTAAAAATTAAGCTCAAAAGTAAAACTGCATTTTTTTCTTCCCTATTTTATAATATTAACAAGCAAACTTCCATCATTTGGAGAATGAGAATTATCATTGACTTTTAAGATGGGACTTAGAAATGTGTTAGCTTTCATATAACTTTGAAGGTTTTATAAGAGAATGAAGCTTTGCGGATGCAATAACAAAACTCTAGAAGATCAGGATGAGTGTCAGAGATGCAAGTGGACTCCATACCGTGCGCGCTTACTCGGGAAATGTCTCCAGGACGCATTCCAAACTTGTCTCCGACCATCTCGTAGGTCAAAGTGCCTTCAAACACCGCTCGCTCTGGACTAAGCTCCACCTTGACCTGATAGTATTCCTTACTTGCCCGCATCAATGCACCGTCATTTCCCGAATACATTGTCACTCCATCTCTAACTCGCTCATGTCTAAGAACGTCCTCGTTTGGACTCTGTCTCATCACCCAAATAATAGATGTCAGCTTTCGTTCGGCGCAATCACTCCTAACAAGGACAGTCAAGTTATTTACATAGTTAACTAATGCGTCCGCAACCTTCCTGTATATGGAATCATGTTTGGGTACGTTCAACCAGTTGAAACAAACGCACCAATGTGGCAGCACCCCTGCTTCACCACATGTCCTATTCTTAGGGATCTGCCGTAACAAACTCATCCCTCGAGGCACGGTGGCGCCGGGTATTTTGAAATCGTTCATGTGTTTCTCCAAACCCATCGCGGCGAGAATCGTGGCGTGGACATCAAAATGTGTCGTTATAAGCCTGGTGTTTGCTTCGACGGCTGCTGCAATTTTTGGTCGACATTTTTTGAAATCGTTTGGCAAAACCATAGCCATCAATGGTAGCCGCTCCTCAAGCTTTCCCTGGTATGTAGCTCTAAATTGGCCTAACCTCGGCCCATGATCACCGAGTACAACCAACAGAGTATTCCGTAACGCTCCAAAATATTTAAGGTTCCGCAAAAACATTGCCACATGTTCATCGACCGTAAGAAGAAGATTATGAATGTCATTGTAGATTTGTCCTATCAGTGTAAAACAAACATATTTACTATGCAACTTAGAAAATTGTAGTGTTAAATCTAATAGTTGCTTATGTAATGGAATCGACCCAAAGCAGTGTTTGTTCTTATTGTTAACTAACCATTTGTGATCTTGAATAGCTACGAGGTGCAAAGCTCTCAAGTAATGGTCAGCTGGCTGGCGTGCGAAGCCATTGAACCGTTTCTGGAAAGTGTCTATGTATTCTATATCCTCAAAAAATGCAGTATTGTAATGCCCGTACTCCTTCGCAACGTAGAATATGAAACTTTTGTCATCGATTAACTTTTTGGAAGTTGCTTTTCTGGTATCTGGAAGTTCTGTTTCCGATTTGCCCGTCATTAAAGGAAACAAGGCGGCAGTTGTACCGTCACCTGTTACACTGTGGATGTTGAAAAAGGAAGCCTTTAATTCTTCAGCCAGCACTTTGTGGCTTTTGGGCATCCGTCTTATAAATCGATTACGTGAGGCTGATTTAAAACAAAGGACCATAATATTTAAAATTTTGCAGGGATTGAACGCTTCCCTTTTTTGTTCAGTATTGTGACTCTGTAGATCAGAAGACCGAAAACCGACTTTGTGTCCATACCATCGTGTGGGCAAAATAGCACCGACTTCCAAACCGGTGCAGGAAACTTTGATATGATCACTTTTATTTAGAGTATAGGTTTCATTGCCATACCGTTTGACTGGTTTTCCTATTTCGTATCTAAAATCGTCGATGTATATAATGTCTTTATAGATGCATGATATATATTGCATTATCTTTAGTACCTCTTCGATGACGTAACAATTTGACAAATAGCATTCGACCCATTCTGTGCCTTCGCATTTGACCTTTGGCAGGTTATAGTCATCTTTTATAGCGTCTTCGGAAAATGGATCAAGCAATGGGACTTGACAAGCTGTTCCCTTTTCATTTAAAATACTGTCGTGCAATCTCATCTGTATGAGTAAATTTGTACGATTAAAATCCAGATTTCTGATTTCATAAAAATCTACTCCAATCAAGTAGTACAGCATGAACATAACGGAAAACACTTTTAAGTATTGTTTGATATAGCGCACTATGTACAATATTTTCACGTATAACAACAACTTCCAAAGTGATTCCATGAGTTTCATGTTGATGTTTTATAATTGAAAACACTAAAGATTCATTGCTTGTTTGGACAGACACATTTTTATATTAGAAAAGATAGTGTTGGAACGGCTTTTATTTACCAAGAAAATATTATTTGCTCTGTAGATTCATCTGAGGTGGATTCATCAAAATAACAGTGAATTGTCAAATTAGACAATGATTATTGTTCACCGTCACCGATTGCCGAGTGCAAAGTTTATTGTATTCTCTAATACGTATAATCCTGTAACGCGTAAGCGTAATGCGTAACGAAATCCCAAACGTGCTATCCATGTTCTATCGATATTTAAAACTCACACGCAAGTTAACATATTAAAGTAGTTATATAAATACCTTGTACGTACTATATATATATATACCTAGGCTTTCTCTACGTTCCTTGACACAGATTAATGATGTCCTCATTATTATGTGGTCCTTGATTAGTAGCGTAGGGACCGAGGCCGATGAATCTCGCTGCGTTTAGGTAGGGACATCAGAAATCTTACTTTGGATCATGTCAAAATCCTAAGTCCATTTTTATTACAATCTTAAAGATGGATGCCTCTGAAGATGCCTCCATAAACATGTTAAATAAATCTATAGATGCCACTTTAAAATAATAATTAATTCTAAGACAACACAATGCTGTTATTGTGTTGGGATTGTGAGAGACTTTAGCTTTAAGTGGGCAATGCGCTCTTGACCAGCAGCTTATCAGCCAACCATCGCCAATTGTGTCGTCCTTGTGGTATAGCCGGTCCAGTATAACTATTCATGTGATGTTTACACATTTTTAGGATTCGGTACCCAAAGAGTAAAATTGGAACCCCATTTCTGCCACTCTGTCGTCTGTCTGTCCGTCTGTCCGTTTGTCGCGGGTATCTGAATCTTAAACGGAATTAATTACAGTACTGAAATTTTGGTATTTTATGTATAATGCTTGCCCAAAGACGAATATTTATTAGAGAAATCCATTAGATAATTTTTCATTTCCCATGCATGAAAAGGAAACGAAAATATTTATTTCTATTTACCCCAGCATGTGATAGAGCCCGTTGAATAGGATATTAATATTTTTTTTCAATTACAAAGAAAAAGAGGGGGGGGGGGGGTCAAAGTTGTAATTTTTAGACCATTTTTTTCCGGGGGTCTATCTCAAAATGAAAACTAGTTAGGTATGTGAAATGTTAATATAAGTTGTCCCAAACAACAAATACCGAAACACGCCGATTCATAACGTACTTTTTAATTTGCGAATACAACAAAGAAGACTTTTCCTTTCGTAATGCAGATATTACTCATCAAATATATGTAGGGAAGGAAGATACGTAACAATTCAGTTATTAAAATCATATATGAGAGTACGGCATCGTATAGTAGAAGTATTTCACAAGGTGCAAAGTTGACCCCATATGTTATTCTGCCGCGCTCGAGTAAATCCAATAATGCTTAGGCTCCCCTACTACAAGTCAAGTTACCCAAAACTGTCAAAAGCTTTAAACTGCATGATTTTCGATTCATAATAAAATTTAGAAAACTTTCAAACATTTTGTGATAACTTGATGTGTGACTATCAGTACAGTGCACGTATTTTTCAACGCCACATAAGTAATATGTACGAGTCACATACACGATTTCACGGTACAGCACGAATGGAATTTTTATAGTTTACGAACGAACGCGAAATTGTGAATCGCCATAACTAACAGCATATTCCTAAGTATTGTATAGGGCACAAAATTCGAGAAAAGCATGAAGAGTCAGATTGAACGTAGTATTTTTCCATTTTGGCTTGGAAACGAAAATAATCATGTCCACAGCTATGATATAATTTTATTCATTTAACTGGTAACTGGTAACTGTGGAAAATGTTGTTGTATTCATACGCTGAGGCCAAACATAATAGGGGTGATGACGGGGTACTGTAAACGAAATTCTATTTAGTCCATCAGTTAGATGATCAAATAATAATGGACACGTATTTTTTCTTTGGGCAATCAACCAAAAAATGACAAAGTTATAGCGCGTCAAAGTTTGGGAGTAGGGGCTCGTGACGTCACTTTTAAGTTAAAATTGTACCAAAACGTGACGTCTGGCGACTTTTCAAATCAATATATCTCTGCAATGTTTATATTATGTGAAAAAAGAAAAAATACGTGTCCAATACTTTTTGATAATCTACCTGATAAACGAAGAAAAAAAAATAGTCATCATCCCTATTTTCGCCTATTAAGGACCCTAATGATGGGACACAAAGCCATATTAGGAACAGAATATGGATCATCACCCATCACGCGTACTTAATGCAGATTAGTCATGGCCCAATCTATGCCCAACGTTATTCATATTAACACTGTAAATGCGAAAGTGAGTCGTCGGTCTGTTACCTCTCTTCAGGCTCGAAATATTGAACCGATAAAGATGAAATTTGGGATATAGATAGTGCGATTCCGGGGAGAGGACATACGAGTTATTTTCCCAGAATCATCATAACGGCGATACAAAATTTGACATCCGCTGAAAAAGTTAAAATGATTTCTTTGCATGGCAAACCAATTTGGCACATCTAGTTTAGATATATTTTTACCAGGCTTATATATTTATTTATCTCAGTCTGCCACCTAGACGATTCTGAGTATTGGGTTGCTATTTCATTTTTAAGTAAATAAATTCCATCGATCTCGTTTTCATTGAAAACGTGTCTAGTCGCTATCTCACGGTGAAGGTGCTTGAAGGATGTTCGGTAACCATGGCTGATAAGCCGCGGGGAACATAAATTAATATACAAACACGACCCTTACTACAAACATGTGTGAAATGTTTCACAAATAAAGCTGGGATTATTAATTGTGTAATTTGGATATATTCAGCGAATACCTAGATTTAATCTCAGATATAAACAAAACACTGTTTAACTGGATAATTCAAGCTACTGCTTATTGTTACGATGATAAACGAAGGAGAAAGCCTTTCAAAATTAAAAGTAAAAAAATCTTTAATCCTTAGAATAAGGAAAAAAGGCGTTGATGAGCACATTCCAAAAATGTGACAGTACGGACATAAGGTGACCCTCACTGCAATTAGATACATTTGAAAACCTGTTTTTACGTTTTTAAATTTTATGAATAATATTGTTCTTGTGGACGACAATATCTTAAGTACGCATTTCTTAAAGCCATTTGAAAAACTCATCGCCATGGTCTATAGAACAAACAATCTTACTAAGGAAACACAACACTGCCATATTATTTCACATTTCTAAAAAGTTTTACAGTGGTAAATAATACCCCGAAAAATCTCCTAACGACTACTGTTTTGCCTAATCTTTTACGATGGCTATATGTCAAACACTTTGTGATATCGTCTGCTAAACAAGAGATTTTTCCTAACTCCACTTTTGGTCAAAAATTAGCTAACAATGGCGTTTGTTTCCTTTAATGTGAACACATCGTTTACGTAAATTTGGCAACTCCTTGAATAAAGTGGAGATAGCAAATTTAATTTAATGTTAAGCAGACGCTAAGTTAATAAGAACATCTTTGAATCATTATAATATATGTATGTATTCTCATTATCAATATAGGTACCAGTGATACTACCCAACCCCCACTCAATCAAATATTTAATTCATTTAGTTATATAAAATCGTAAGACAATGCAATATTATATGCCCACGTTATATCAAAATATTACTTGATAAGAAATTAATACGTCATCTATCTATTGTCTTGTCTTTTTATGTAGGCAATTCAAATTCATAGCTGTGTTACGCGGTGATGCCACTGCTGACGCAACAAACCCATTATTTATTACCTACTGTAACTTTTGCTAAACCAAATCATAAGAATGACTTTTTATTTTAAAATCTATTTTTCCTTCATTACTGTATAGTGGCAAATAATGACACTTAAAGATATAGATAGTGGATTAATAAATAAGCTGTAACTGTTTATGTTTCAACTGATTATATAAATATTTTATGAGGAGATATCTGAATCTAGATATGTTTAGTCTAGTTATGATGAGGATTAGTGTGATGTGACATTGGATAGTTGCGGATTTGCATATCCTGATGATAATGATTTTATATTATTATGTGTTTAAGAGGCTTGTTTTATACGGTCGTCAATAATAAGAGGTAAGGTTAAGGTTTAATTCAAACATACACACCAAAGGAGCTTTACGACCACGTTTTTACATGACTGCACAAAAAAGATTATAATATTTTCAGGATTCATCAATCAAAAATCAACAATTCTAGTATTGTTGATTGAAGGCATTCATGAATGTATGTTATGTACAATTCTTTATTCCACCACTAGTTGTGCCCCGTGGCGTTACCTGCAATTTATAAGAGATATTTTCCCGCCGTAAAACGTAGCCTATGTTTTAATCCAAACCAAATTTTATTAGTCAATTAATTCCAAACCAAATTTTATTGAATTCGCTCCAGCTGTTTGGACGTGAAGAAGTAACAAACATATACCTACACTCACACACTCACAAACTTTCGCCTTCATAACATTAGTGTGATAATTTGTAAACGCCTTAGCTGATTTAGATGTATTTAGTACCTTTCATTTAAATGTGTTTTAATCGTTTCACCATCCCGGGTGACATAGTATACCCAATGCCGGCATTTCACTTGGCTATTCTGTAGTATTTGTAAATTTGACATCAGTTTGTCGTTTCATTCTTTATAAAGCATGATCTGGACAGACTGTTGTAAAGTTTACAAAAGGCAAATGTGAATAGCCATGCGAAGTGCCAGCATTAACTGTAAAAATTTAAATAATAACAACTGGAAAAAATGACAAGTATTTATGTTAAATAAAAAAAATGGGTGCGTGTACTTATGTAGGCGCGTGAGAAGTTATCCTTCTTTGGCATCGTTTAAAATTAGTTTTTAATTGCATGCAAATAATTAATTACAATAAATTAATAAAAAGTCTGGAAAAGGACACAGTCAATAAAGTTCAGTTTTAATTTGAAAAAATAAATAAATAATCAAAATATTCAATTAAAATCGCTACTGAATATAATTTATTAGAACATATGTGATTTGCACTTGTATGAAACTCAAACACGTATTCCGAATATACAAACTAGAAACATCTGGATAAACATTATAAATATGAATACCTATAACTGTTACTTTATTACAAAAAATAAAGATGTGGTTTTTGGTTCTACTACACCAATGGTCAAGAGATGGCGCTGTAGTCTCCTGAATCGCGCTTTGGTTCCGTTATTCCAGATTAATAAATACTTTCGATAGGCCTTCACAATGCAGTCGTTAGCACCCACTAAATAGAGATTCTATTTCTATTTTGTTGGTAGATTTTCTTAATGTGCGGTAAACACAAAAGTAACGCATGAAGTTGGTCGTTGGACCAACTTCATGCTGTTAAAA